CTCCTGTTTAATTAGCCCACTAGTTACTAGCCGGTTCTAAGCCTGGATAAAGATGGAAAGTTGGGCATAGGGTTAGCAACCCTACCCCGTAAAACCAATCTAACCTCTGAAGAATTTTCAAACCACAAAGAAAACATACAAAGTAAAAAAAAATTATTCCTCGCTGGAATCGGGGAGACGAAATGATACCAGTTGGTGAAAGCATTCGAGAAGCCAATTGGCCGTTGTATCTTCGCTTCTCTCAATGAAAACGAAGGTTAGATCGAGGACATAGAATGTCTGCACCATGTAGGAACCTAATAAGGCTGCTCAGATTGCAACAGACATGAGGAGGTATGGCATAGAAGAGCTAGGCTGGGAATCTGCGAAAGCAGATGGAATGGAAGTGGACTGTCCAAACTCTTAACTAAAGAGTCAATAATCCACTCCAACATTGTCACACAGACGACAACCACGAGCACACTGAGTTTTGTAGTGGTTATCATGATGTTCCAAACAGCATCAAAGGCTCTAGTGCAGTGGGAACCAATCCCCTCCTGCAGGATCATGACTGCAAGATTCGACTGAAAAGGAAGGAAAGTCACGGTCATACAGCACTACGCTACGCACCTACAAACAATGGAGATGAAGAGAAGAAGGAGGAATTCCACAGACAACCGCATTCAGTAGATGACAAGACTCCAGTCTAGTTGGCCACATCAAAATTCTGATGGGGGAGATGAATGCCAAACTGGGAGCGGACAACACAGGAAGAGAATCAGTCATGGGTCGAGAAGCGCTCGGTGAAATCAATGAGAATGGAGAACTGTTTGCAGACTTCTGTGCATTCAACGGTTTGGTGATTGGAGGCAGTGTTTACAGACACAAGGTTATTCACAAAGCGATATGGATTTCATCAGATGAACACATCACACTAAAAACCAGACCGACTTCATTTCAATGTGAAGAAAGTGGAGACTCAGCCAGCCTGCTGGACACAAGATCAGACCAAGAAGGGGGAGCAGATGTAGGTTGGCACCACTCACTATCTGGTGCGAGGAACCTTCCAAATCAAGTTGAAAGTTCCTGAAGGAGCTGATGATGATAGACCACAGTTCAAGTTCAGCATTGGGAACAGAAACTGAAGGACGAAAATACAAAGGACATCTTCATGTCAGTCATCAGGACGAAGTGCAAGATGTTAAGTAACATCCCTGAGGAAGCCTGTGTAGAAGAATACTGGGACTCTGTGGAAGCGACTTCTAGGGAAACCTTCATAACCGTATTAGGAAGGAAGAAGAGGCAAGACTAGACGAGGAGTGGAACTCCATGGACACATGGAAGCTGATAGAGTAGGGAGAGGAAGGTCGTGAAGCGGAAGACGGACTAGTGCAGTGCGGGGATGAACAACGAAAAGAGGAGCCGAACACAACCTGCAAAACACTAGACAAAGAAGTGAGGAAGAGTGGGCGCAATGACAAGAGACACTTCTACGACACACTGGCAAGTGAAGCAAAGTAGGCTGCAGGTAGAAGAGACAGGGCCCTGACGACAATATATCAGATAGCTAGGTTACTATCTGGGAGGGAAGAGATCAACGCAAACGAAACCAGTGTAAGATAGTGAAGGAGAGCTAGTTACCAAAGGGGAGAGGCAAAGGAGACGATGGGTTGACAACTTCAATAAACTCTTGAATCAACCATCACCATAACCACCTGCAACTCGTTGAGAAATACCACTAGCAACCACAGAACTACCAGTGAACACAAGCACTCTGATAAACGCAGAAGTCCTGAATTCCGTAAAGTTGCTGAAAGCCTTGGAGGCGGCAGGACCAGATGGAATTCCCCAGAAGCACTGAAGACAGACGCTGAGACAACAAAGGACATACTCACACCACTATTGCAGAAGGTTTGTAAGGAACGAAAGGTACCTGGCGATTGGAAGAACGGCTACCTGGTCAAACTCGCAAAAAAGGGAGACCTAAGTCTTTCAAAAAAACGGCGAGGAATCATGCTGCTGTCCACCCCAAGCAGAATATTAATCCGCATCATCCTGGAGAGACTAAAAGATGCACTGCATTCAAAATTACGACCGCAACAGGCTGGCTGTCTTCAGGAAGTACAAATCATGTGCGGATCAAATTGCGACGCTGCACTACGCACCATCATACAACATAGCTTAGAATGTCAGTCAACTCTACCTCAACTTCATCCACTTTGAAAAGGCCTTCGACAGCATCGACCAAGAAGTAATTTGGCAGGTAGCTGCTTCAACACTACGCTTTTAGTGCCACAAACCTTGATCAACTTCATTCAACAGCTGTATGAAGACACCACATGGATCATGCAGCAAACAGTGGGGAGCGAGATGGGCATACGCTGGCTGGACCGAAAATACCCTAGAAGATCTGGATTTCGTCGATGATTTATGTCTAATGTCGCGCAAACTCAAAGATCCACAGGCAAAAACCAACAAGTTGACAGATGAGGAGAGACAGCGAAGAAGGGACTTCCTTCGGGTGGACGTAGAGAAGTCAGAGGTGATGAAGATACTCAACCAACAACAACAGAAAGCACCAATCACCATCAACGGGAAAAACCTAAAGGAAGTTGTCTGTTTCACCTAACTACCTAAGCAGCATCTTTCCAACTACAGGCAGAGACACAGATGAGGATGTCAAAGCCAGGATCGAAAGACAGCAAGACAGGTCTTCATTAATCAGAAATCAGTGTGGAGATCTACTGCACTCCACTCAGCATAAAGCATGAAAAACACTCGGATTTCCAACACTAATGTCAGTCAAGTCAGTGCTTGTATATGGTTCAGAAACTTGGCGCGTTACAAAAAGCATTTCCAACAAACTGCAGTCATTCATCAACAGCTGCTTACGCTCGATCCTGAAAATCAAATGGCCAGAATAATAAGAATAAGCAACAAGGAACTCTGGCTGGCTGTCAAAGAACCAACCAACAACCTATTACCCAACAAATATGCAGAAGAAAGTGGAGGTGGATTGGGCATACACTGAGAAGACCGATTGAAGACATCACGCGCTAGGCCAGGCCATCGAGTGGAATCCAAAGGGAAAAAGACGAGTTGGGCGACTGTGGCGAGGGTGACATTGAAGAGATCATGTGAGAAAGAAATGAAAGCTTGTGGGCAGTGGTGGAGCCAGGTGGAAAAGACTTCAGAGAACAGAGTGAAATGGCGACGTGCTACTGAAGCCCCGTGTTCCACTAGGAATCCAAGGGACAAATAATAATGATAATACAGAAATCGGTGGTATAGGACAAAAAGATATAAGAACACTTCACTATAGATTCGGCAATCAAGTCTATCCAAACAATAATCTAGTAATTTAATACGCATCAAATTAATATATCTACACAAAAACTAAAGGCCAACACGCTCTATTTTCTTAAGCTAAGCGAATGAAGATTTAGTAGGGAACATATGATCCCTCGTGACTTAAATTACTTGTCTTTCTGATGAGTAATTATACATGTGAAAACTTCGCCTCGGGATCTTTACCACTTTTAGGAATGCTTTTTTTTACAAGAAAGTAGAAAGAAATATGTTCCATAAAGTAAATTTAGGTTACAACACTTAAACATGGCATTAATCCATGAAGAATTTAGATGATACAACTCGGAATGAAACACAGTTCCTATTGTGATGCCCCAGTCTTGTATAAAACACTGTTATTGATCTGAACATTTTGTGTCATTCCCACATTGCTTTTACGTTTGACTAATAGTCTATTTCTGCCTCCATTGTAATGTAATTCGCTGATTGGTTAACTTTTACTCTTACTATGCGAATTTCTCCAATTGCGGACAAGCTCAGATTTCATGTGTATACTTATCCAAGTGTTTTGGATTGATTCATTGTTATTATATTATATTCTCGGAGTAATACACTCTCCCATCTGCCAGCTTCGGTCTTCTCTCTATTCGTCCCGGGGTTGCAGGCAGTGTCTCTTGCGTACAAAGTTAACTGTCAGCTAAGCGCGCGTATTATATTCGTTTCGAAATATATACATATACCATTAGCGACTCGAACCCATAACAGTTCCGTAGATGCATGCACTCCTTATCTGAACTGTTATATCGCTTCTAAGTCATAAATTCATCTTCTTTATGTTCTGCTGTCTTCTACATCCTTCATGGTATCACTGTCATTTCAGTATCTTCTACCTTGACACGCTAATGTGAAATGTAGCAACTAACACAGGTATGTATTAATTTTAAATCCCGTACTTCAAAGAAAAGATATCCCCATGTGTGATCGAAAGCTAAAGCACGATTACTGTTTACCTGCTTTTAGTGCAAATCGTTGAACTTGAAATATGGGACCTAAAATTACTGCACAATGGTCTTATTTTCTATATATTCACATCATCATGCCAAGATACAAGACAATAAAATGAATAGTACCATAAAAGATGTAGAAGATTGCATGATATAAAGAGGTTGAATTAAGCACATAAAAAAATCGCTGGACTTCAATGACTGGATTGTACAGCTCTGATTCATTGCTTTTTGGTAGTTAATTGCCAACCAGCTGCCCACGGGTTCAAAACCAACTCAATTTACCTAGTTTTGGGCAAGCACGTAGCATTCTTAGCCTTCAAACAACAGGTGTGGCTTATTGTCTACAGCACGAATTCGCAAAAGGTCGCTCGGTGCCTTTTGATTTTCAAAATGACTGAATCTAAGGTTACCGGAATGATATCGATAGACCCCACCAAATAAAACAGAAATTAGTCAATTATCAAATATACATACATATATATTATACTTCAGCCTATAAGTGCATTACTATTTTTTAAGTAGTATACAAAAAGTTTATTCATATTAACTCAAAAAATTTAACTGATACGACATGATACAATGAAAGATAAAGGAAGGCAAAATTGAAAAGAATTAAGAGTATACAATCGAATATAGAGCGTTAATATACAATGAAGAGGAAAAAGACCAAAACATACTGGAAAACCCATCTAACCAGTTAGATAATCAATCATTCTTGGAATTTGTTGTTTCAGTTTTACTCGATCTAAAGTTCTCCTTCATTGATTTTGAGTATTTTCCATTCATGTTAATGGTAAGCAAATGATTTATCACAGGTATGCCTAAAAGAACAGTGATGTTCTCTAACAGTACACGTATCTCTAGCCAAAATTCGCATCCTTTAATATGCCAATAGTTAAAATTACAATCACGAGATAAAGAGAACATTAGGAAGGAGAAGGCAACAAGATAATCAGAAAAACGGAATATATAATTGTTATATGAAAAGAAACTGTCAGTATTGTTCATCAGTTTATTGTGTATTATCACAGGTATTGAATAAATGAATCCTGCCATCAACATACATATACCTAAAAAAAACTAAATAAACTACAACAATAACTGTTCACTGGTAGAATCCATGTTGAATGGATTTCTGTCAGTTGGATATCTTTATCTAGTTGAAACAATTCCAAGGGGATACAGAATATACCCAACAAACTCACAGATACCGACATAATAGCTAATCCGAAAGCATAAAAATTTGAATATGGTTTATGTGTTTGTTTATTAGTGATACTTTTATCATGATTAACATAGTTATTCACGCCTAAAAGACGAAAATAAATTCCAACAGTAGTTAGACATCTTAAGCCAATTCGAGCACGTAAACATCTTGAATAACCTAAACGCTTCTCAACACCAAATAAATAGGCTATATAGATTTGACTAAACAAGATGATAGTCAGTGATAGACGAGTCAGAAAACGACTTGCAATACCAGTCGAAGCTATGAGACCAATACCAATCTAAAAAATAGATAAACAGAATAAGAAGATATTCAATAACAACAAAAACACGGCAACAAATAAATAAATAAAAGAAATAAGTGGATCAAAGTTTGAAAATACTTACAACACAAAGAAAACGATAACGCATATACACAATTCCTGATGGCAGTAGCATGCTAAAATATTCGTTGGCTATAGACAAGATAATTAGAAGACATAGTTTAATTATTATTATTATTATTATTATTAGTCCCTTGGGTTCCTAGTGGAACATAGGGCGTAGTTTAATTACGTTATCCAAATTTATAAGAGAGTTTACTCGTTTCAAATCTTTTGATTAGCTTAACATAAAAAGCAAATAGAATGTCTCAGCCTATGTTAATGGTTTGAAGGAATTCATATTCCACTTTTTATCACAAATTTTCATCAGTTGTGAAAGACACGAGGATTTCTAAAGTTTATGACAAGCTACATTGACTTATAAATGTTTAGATACAATTGTTTACCATTACTATAATCAACCACCTTGAAATAATAATTGACTTCGTATCTTAAGTTAGTTGTCGCTAATAAAAAATCGGTTTAACATTAATGATAATAATGGTGCATTTTTTGTACTAGACTATAAATCATACTTGTTAGCTTGTGATATTAGCCCCAGCCACCTACGCTTAAATAGATGCGGTGGGGGGGGGGGGTTAACAACCTGTAATTTTTCTTCTAAATTCAAATGCTTAGGTCAATAAACCATATCACTAGTTATTAGTAAAAAGTTATAATTTGATAAATTTGATAACATTATACATATAGAATTTGAAAGTTTTGATCTCGACCTTGGGGAGGTTAATCAATGTTTATTGTTCGAAAATTCTGGAATAGTATGAAAAATATTTATTACTACCGACTTCCTCCTCATGTATCCATTTTCTAAAAAAAAGTGGTTTTCACTACTAGTTTACATCAGATAGAAAAGTATTATAAAATAAGGAGCACTAGAAAATTGTTTTATCCTAGCCTTGGTCTACGCACCATTACACAATGAAAAAAGGTTCCATACAAGAGGTGAGAGCTAATGACAAGTCAAGTTTCATGAAGATTTAATTAGTATTCAATTATTGAGATGAAATTCAGCGGTCCAAACTTTTTTCATTTTTAACAACTAGTGATGTAAGTACTGGATATCGATTCATAATCTTGATTTTGTCAACACTAAAAGTCATAGTCTCTTATTAGAACTTCATTAAATCTACTTCGAAGGTAGTCACTGATAAATACTTGATTATTATTGATTGAATCAATTCATTTGTATATGATTGATTAATTTTCAATGACTTTTTCTGAGTGAAATCAATCAGCTCTAGTAAAAAAACAAACAAACATATTTAGATAAGTCAGTAGCATACAAATCACTGAATTCTTTATGTTTGTTTGAATCAACAACCTATTTCGTTTCATAAATGAAAACATAACCCACTTTGATAATCGTTATTCATCACTAAACACCATGCCTTGACAACTTTTATTAAGCTGATTATTAGTTCATAATAGAGTGATAAGTCAGCAGGAGGTCTTCAACAACATAATCATCATGCTTGGGTGTTAAATGAAACCTTTTCAGTGATAATTTCAATAAGTAATGACATTAAAAAACAAGCATCCCTCAGAAATCAATTTCTTGTTGTTGCATGGAATGTTACATTGTGTGACATACCTATAAATCAAATGAACGCTAAGTCATCATCGTCTCTTTTGCATGCAATGATAAAACCTATTTATTATACACTACCAGACAAATAAATCGACATAAAGCCTGGCACACAAGCGCATTACCTTAAGTTACAACACTTCACAGTAATGGATAAAGAAAGACTTATATCAAAGTAGATAGAGTTGCATGAGAGAATAAACAACCTGCAGAAAACGGTTAGTGCACATGTTGAGCCTTTTAAAGATGTCTAGGAGTCGACACATCTAAGCCATTATGACCAGTTTTCAGCTACATCACCAACACTTGGTACTCAACCATTGATTCCTTTCGTCTCGCAAACCATAACTAAACAGTCTACATCTCCCCACACGAATCAGACCAACAGTAAGAAATTTTATCTACTGGTGCCACGTTGTGGTCTGACCACCCTGAACACTCTCCTAAAGTAATCTAACTCTCTGTGGGATGGCACGTTGAGGTAGGCGGTGGCTCAGGATGTGCAGTACATGTCCAAGTCGACGGTTCATAACCTTATCAACCAACTTGCCTATCTTGCCTAGTAGCCAAAGAAGAAGTCCGTAGGAAATATGTTTGAGGAGAAAGAATAAACAAATGAGGTTAATGAAAATATCGAAAACTTCGAATGTATCAAAAACTGCATAAACCAGTACGACTGTGACCTGTTTCGAGCCAATTCATCGAGTCTACAACAATTATTCTTTTCATTTCCAGGTGCCCGACCAGACAGTCAATAGCTCCTTGCACCGCTCAGACGACCTATGGTCAAAGACTTCATGGATGAGCATCACATCTTGGTTTGACCATACTATTTTACGTCAACAGTTAATAATTGTTTAGTGCACTGAATACTTTTCCAATTTCTTCACTTCGTGATAATTTTCGATTATTTTTACGCGGCACAAGCAATGCCTTCAATGATATACATTTTTACTGAAAAGGAAAAAAAGCCCACTTAACTTACATAAATATAAACTATCCATGGATGTATAGGAGGTTCTATTTCATGATAAGCACGTTCGCCTAGCCATAATAAGAGACAAATTGACTGGAGCAGACTAATTCTAGCTAACAACCAATGTGCACAACGGATTTTAAATGCATATTGACATGACATTTCAATATTTCTTCCACCAATTACAATATCCTATTAAAAAGAAACCAACTGTTTAACGATAATGAAAAAAAAACTTATGGTGAAAAATTTACAATACAGTGTCTATTAGTTTTTCAACATAGCAATCGAGTATTGTCTGATATGCAGATAATTTTGACCATTATAGGTTCTTGGAATAACTTTTCACATCGCTATTTAATTCACATACATCCAAGATAAAGCAGTTAATGCAAAGTCGTCATTCAGTAAGTACATTGTCAAGACTAGTTTATGAAATATACTGAACCAATTCTTACATTCGGTTGTATCACATCAGTTACATCGTGATATCTTCTCTAAAAGTTTTTTTTGTACATAGCCTTGAAAATAATTGATACAGCTGTCAACTGCAACAACAATATCATACTTTATTCTGTTGTAAATCTTGTGATCAACATTTGAATGTATAAAGACCACAGGAATCATATATTAAGCGACATTTCAAACCAATTAAAAAAGATAAATTTAAGTGTTCCACAGCAGGTTATGAATTAGTTTGGATTTCAATAGCGAAGTTACTGTGTAAATAGTTGTGTAAAGCTGACGAGACTAATAGGTTTTGATATCATTATCATATACACTTTTATCAGAGAACAATGGGAATGGTGCTATGTTTTTTTTTTGGAAGTAATAAGAGTATAACTATCCACCTGTCCTTTGTGTACTACTGTGAAGTGTGGTAACTTGAGCTGATGTACATGTGTGTGAGGTTCTAGGTTGATTTTGTCCGCCTGTGTGTCTGACAACGCAAGAAGGTTTAGTAATACCGTCATTTATTTCCATATTAGGTCTGTCTCAAAGTTTGAATATGAATTTCTTTTCTTTAGTCTAACGCTATCGGTTTACATAGAATGCTTCTCACAATATGCATTGAAAATACAGTATTTTTAAATCAGTAATTGTAATTCCAATGACAATCACTTATCCTTCATTGAGCGTGATATATCTTAGTCATAGTAGATGCTAAGAAGGATGAGAAAATGCCACTTGATGATAACCAACAATATTTCTACACAAAAACCCTAAACACAGAAAAAATCACAACCCGTATTTCAAAGACATAAATACTTCGATTGAGTTATGCACAAAGAAAGACTTCAGCATACAAATGCTCTAAATAATTTCACTCCCAAAAGCTGTGCAGTCTCATTTCAATAACTACAAAGTATATACATTTAATCTTAAAAAGGTCGACACTTTCTAACCCATTGATAATTCAAAACGCAAAAGACAAAAGGAGTATGATTTAAGGATTTAGATTGTTAACAAGTGAATGGAAAACTTGCGTCTCATCACACAACACCAGCTTCTACTCGCTTGTTGGTAGGGCATAATAGAAGTTTAGTTATATCTTCCGAGTTCTTCCAACTGGAAGAAAAGGATCTTATGAAATTGCATGTTCATCGGGAGCGAGCAACCTCAGAAGCAATTTAGTGAGTGTGCTAGTGTTTTTTCGCAGCTATTGAAACAAGAACATTGAATTCCATTGATGAGGCATACAATATGAGAAATGTGATAACCAGTGATTACAGATACAACAGCAGGCAAAGGTATATGGTAATGTTGAAGCTTCGCTGTCTAAAGTCTCTGTCCAAGACCCGGTCAGCTAAAGAGTTGAAAGAGGCTGTAGTACGCCCCTTTTTCAAGTATGGTAATAAATAACTAGCTATTAACCACCACCCAGTCAGTTTAACCTGTAAAGTGATAAAAATACTGGAGAAAATAATCAGGAATAAATTTCTGAGCAGTGGAAACACATGGCTTATGGGCACAGGAGAAGCATGTTTTCCACACCGGATGCTCATGCCGAACGAACTGGTTTTTAGTCAGGTAAGAATGCATGGGAGAAAGAGACAATAAGTTGTCTGTTGATGTAGTGTTTATTGATCTTACCCAGGGATTTGATAAAGTTTTCTATTTAGATTTGCTGAGGAAGCTCGCAGGTTTCGGCATAGATGTTAATACGCGTGAGTGGTTTAAGCACTACCTACATGGTGGGAAACTAAGAATCAAAGTTGATGAAGTACTGCTTGACTGGGAATCAGTCAAGCTTGGGGTTATCCAGAGCACTGTACTAGGGCCTCTTTTGTTTTTGCTCGCTTGTAGTGAATTACCAGGTATGGTTATGCAATCATCTTTGTCATTCACGCATGATGCTAAAGTTTGGAGGGTAGTTCACAATAATGATGATACGATAGCACCCTAGATTAACTTGGATGAATTGGCTAAATGGTCTAGAGGCTGGGGCCTGAAAACCAACTCTAACAAAGTTCAGTAATGCACATTGGTCAAAGGATGCTTTATCGTACTCATGTACGACCTCATCTTCAATACTGCACCCAGGCACCTATCCCTTGCTTCAAACAAGAAGTAGACATACTAGAACGGGTACAAAGAGTGGGTAGAAGGTTAGTGACAGGACTTCTACATCTTTCCCATGAAAAACCATTGAAAAGTCTGAATCCTCCCCCATTATCATGTTGTAGGAAAAGAGGAAATCTCATATTAGCTTATCGTATCATGAATAATGATTAGAGTGTTGACCTCTCTAATCTTCTTATTCCTTTTAGGACTGGTTATCTAAAAGGTCACCATGAAAAAGTTGAAAGGCCATGGTGGAATATAAACTATAGGTGGAAATCAGATCCTTTTGCAGGGTGGTTAACGATTGGAACTTATTACTGGAACTTGTGGTAGCTGCTCCTTCGGTGAACGCTTTCAGGAAAAAACTGGATCTCTAAAGAGATTTTGACTCTCAGGATTCTTACAGGCTATTGAACCTATTACCCTCAAGTCTGAAACTGAAACTTTCTGCCTATGACCTTAAGTAAGGCTTTATTTCACAAAAGGTCTATTATTCCGTAGTACCTTTTAAAAATGGGGGGGTATTTTTTCTCTGCAACTCTCTCTGGATAAAAAAGTTTCTAGTCTTGACTAATATGTATTGCTAAACCGTCTCATTGTTGTCAAATTCAGACCTTGCAAGGTCTGAGATGTGACTTTGTCTCAAATAGGATTTTGTATGCACTCTGACATGCTGTTTGTTCTCGACAGCCCAGGCGACCCTGAGTGGTGACACAACTGTTACTAGATAAAGTACTGTTCCCCACCCCATAAAGTCCATGTTTATGCGTACTACCGGCTAAATAGTGCGACGGGCCACGAATCGGATATGTGGCCAGATGAGGTGCACATGGAGCCAAACGTCGGATCACCGTTCACATAGGACCACATATCAGGTCAATAAGGCTGACTTGTCAGATCATACGTTGGCATTGGCTAACAACGCTACTTCTCAACAATAAGGGGGCAGGTAAACGCGATGGCGTAACACTTTACGTTAGCTCCTCTCACAGATCACAAGATCCACACAGGAAAAATGGAATATTTCGACGAGTCCATCTGGTGCCCCAGAAAAATTTGCAAGACTAAACAGTGCCTGGTGAGTCATTTATAGGAAGCCAGCGGCTGACATGCAGTGTGATGATCAGATAATAGAGAGAATCAGGTGCTCTCTTAAACTGGAGCACACACACATTCTAGGAGACTTTAACCTGCTGATGGTTAACTTTGCAGATCATAAGTTCAGCAGGAGTGATGATTCCACTGAAGCCCGATTCTTCAATTTGATTGAGGAACTGGGACTTATGTAAATTGTGAGAGCAGTAACGCGATGGAGGCGGACTCAAACCCCATTCCGCTTAGACTACATCTTCACAAATGAAGAATTCTTGATTGGCAACCTAGCAATCCTCCCTCACTTGGGCAAAAGTGACCACATTTTTATCAGCTTCCAGTGTGTCTACGAAACTAATCTAACCAGACCTATTAATGAGCGTCGTTGGAAACTCAGATGATTGAACAACTCGGCCCTCCGGATGGTACTGGAACACACAGGTAGGGAAAATGACTATGTATGGCAGGATATGGACACCCATTGGAGATTCATACTTGAAAAATCATGCACTCCATCATTCAGTCTGTTCTACTTTCAACACCTAGATGCTCCAAGTCACTTAAGGTAACAAGCAACCCCACTTGCAAACTAAGGTTAAAAAACACCAGTGGGCCGAACACAAAAGGAATAGTACAGAATACACATATAAACTGTTGAAACAGACAAGAAAAACACACGAAAGCAGTGAGAGCTGGTCGGCAACGGCATCAAGTTAGGCTTACAACCATTTTTGGTTCTAACTCAAGTGGGGATGCAGCTCATTGGTTTACGGAAACGATTTTGAACAAATGGGTTATAGATTCGAGCCCAATCAAACTACTGAGGTGCAGTTAGTCAGGTAGTATCATTAGCCCTAACAAAATAGGTGTGGTTCACTGCCTACTGCATGAACACGGACACGGTTGATGAGTACATTTCAATTCAACTCTGTTCCGCTATGTTGTATCCTTCCAGCAGGCCAAAGGGTGAATCTCTCAACCACTAGGGTCCAACGGACTGACTAGTAACGACATGGAAGCACCTGAGTTCCTGAGTTGACGAGTATTTGCAAATCTTTTCATCATCCACCTACTCGGGAGTTTACGAATATCCCATTAATGATTCTCGGTCGCTGACTTAGGCATTGCGGTAGTATAGCTCAAACAGTTACTGACCATAAAAGACATCTCTTGAACCAGATAAGATCCAAGCAGCGGCACTGTGGGAGGGAGGATTAGTCTTTGCCAAACCCTTAAGTTATTTAACGATTCTCTAAGTCGGGGGAAAGCACCCGATCCTTGGGTTGGGTCAAGTAACGCTAACCTTTAACGGAGGTCAATGACGCAACCCGAAGAAAAATAGACCGGTGACGCTCTCATCCATACCTTCAAAAGTAATGGAATCATTAATCTATGATGGACTGGGGAATCAACTTTTAACGATTAACTTCTTTACCTCCCAACAACACGGATTTATAAAAGGGTACCCCACGTTACTAATCTCACTTTAGTAAATAAATAGACCA